AGCCTTTTATTTGTGCCTCCCTGGCTAATAATGGTTTATAAAAACCCTTCTGGAACGGCTGAAATTCTGTCTATGCAGCTCTTTGCCGTTCAATGCAGAACCCTGTTAAATAAACCTAGAAGGCAGGGTGGTTAGCTCAGACATAGCCTCCCTGCTCTCAGATAACCTCCCCGGGTCATTTTTTTTTTTTTTCCTCTTAGGATGAGCCCTTCCTGAGAACCTTCCGGAACAGCAACTACACGTACCCTTCCAAGCCAGCCATTGAGGTAACCTCTGACTCATGTCTGTGTCTCTCAGACACAAGCTAGTCCTACCTGCCAGGGACTTGGGGCGTGGTACAGATTTCACTGTTCGTTTAAGCCCAAATATATCCTTCTGACATACTGGGAATTGGAATGTACAAAAAAGGGTCCGGAACTGAGGCCCCAGGACGGTCCTGACATGTTCTCAAGTTGCCTACCTGACGTCAGCGGCCAAGCAGAGGAAGTGCCGGGGATCAGCCTGCACCGACCTTTGCTGTCCTGGGCTCGGCGACATTGTTTGTCATTAAGCGTCTCGGTCTTGCAGAGGTGGGCAGTGGGGGGTGGGGCAGGGGTCATGAAGTGCCATCAGCTTCCTGAAGGTGGAACCCTAAGCTGAGTGGGAAGGAATCTCTGTGCCAGGGGTGGAGTATGACAGGAAGCTGACGCATATCCACACCAAAGCCCCGGCCTTAACTGAATACAAGTCACTCAATCCCGCTCGGAGCTTTCAGAGAGCTCTTTGGCTTTAAGGATCGACACTCCAAAGGTGGCTTGCCAGGTCCTGTGCCACACCACACACATCACACCACACCACACCTTGAAGAACCTAGGCCTGGTCTACCGGGTCAGAGACTTGAGCATTTCACATTTATGCTGAGGGCTGGTGGAGATGTAGAGACGCATGTGACATGGTCCTGACCTGGGTAGTTAGAGCCTAATAGAGAGTTCACAGTTGTTTATTAAGCACCTATTATGTGTCATGCACTATTTCAAGGTGGTAGGAACTGATGGGACTCAGCTTTTACAGAGAGTCCCGTCTGCTGAGCTGAGACATCTAGGACATAGCTCAAGTGATGATTTCAGGTAGGGACAGCCATTGCTCAAAGCGGGGAGAGGGGCCACAGGAAGGGTAGCCAGTTCTGATGCATCATGGTTGCTGAGCCTGTCTGAGAAGGGGAGATTTGAACTGAGACATGCAAGTCAAAAAGATGCCAGCTGCCCGGAGGACCAGAAAATGCCAAGCAAAGGGGCCAGAAAGCATGGAGGCTGCGGGGTAAAGCAAGTTGAGTATAATCGGGGAGGAGAAGGAAAGTCAGGGCGGCTGGAGTCAGGGCATGTGACTGTGGTGAGTAAACGGTGTAGGAGATGAGAGCAGAGTAGTTCTCAGGGCCAGGGCACACAGCCAGGATGCCTGGGAGTGAAGGTTACATTTCAGATGGGAAGCCAGGGGAGGTCTGAGGATTTGGTACGTGCCTTTAAGAGACCTCTCTGACTGCGGCATGGAGACTGTACCAGACATCCGTGACTAGGGGGAACTTGCTTTTTGAGACCGAGTAGCATGTAGCCCAGGCTGTCCTAAACCTTGTTAGGTAGCCAAGGATGACCTTGAGCCCCTGATTCTCTTATCCCACCTCCCAAGTCCATGGGTTCTGGGTGTGCACCACCACACCCAGCTTTTACTTAAATCTGGGTTTGGTTTTTGAAATATGATCTCACTCCAGAGCCCAGACTAGGCTATAATTCCCCATGATCCTCCTGCCTCAGCTTCCTAAATGCTGAGATTACAGGTGGGAACTGCCACACCTAGAAGAAAGAGCTTTCATACGCCACCCAAAGCGCTGAGAAAAGCCTGTGTGGAGGTGCCAAGGAACTGTCAAGTGTGATGTCCAATTCCAGCAGTGTGGCTGGGAGCTACGTCATCTCCGGGCTCTCTGGATTCTCTCTGACTCACGTTAACCCAAAGGTGTCGAGTCCTGCTTGAACCAGTGACCAAATTCCCATGTGACTGAAAAGTCTTGTCAGCCAGGCATTCGTCTGTTCATTTTCCACTTTCTTAACGGATGCTACGAGGAACAACCACTATGCTGAGTGCTGGATGGACGGACAGTCATGGGGAGTGGGACTTGGCCTGTTCTCCTGGATCTTTATTCTTAGGGATCTTTCCTTCCACTGTTTAAAGCTCAGGGTAGAAAGGTATGTTCTCATTTTGATAGGTGGCTGCCTATAGTAGGCAACATCAACACTGCCTTTGTTACCAAGTCCTGCGTGGGTTCCTGGACCCACTCGGTGTACATAGAGCAAGATGGCAGACCCCTGGCAGGTTCTGGTTGAGGTAACAGTATGGTGTCTTCTCCTTTGTGACAGATGTACACACTCAGGTCTAATCTGTGTGTGTCACATGGAACGTGCTCAGCCATCAGAGATTCCCACGATGTGGTTGGTAGCTCTAGAACTTGCTTTCAAAGTTGCACTTTTCCCAAGTATTTGTCATGTGACCATTCTTGACTTCCATGAAACACATTTAAACAGATGAGGGAAATCACTGTGATCTGTTGAGGAGGCCCTGGGGATACACGGTTCTACTGGATTAAGCAAATGTGTGAGAGACAGTTTGGTGAAGCCCTCCCCCGCCCCCACGGAAGGCACACTTATGTCAAAGAGTCTTCAAGGTTGATTGATCACAATTTCAGGAATGTAGAGAGTTGGAATGTTACAGATCCAGGGCCAAATAGTCTTGCGTTGTCTTTAGTCCCCTTGGGAGCTATTCATTGTCCAACTGTGTGCCCAACCTAAGTCCTTGTGACTCTCGGGGGAAACTTTTTAAAAAATACATGAAACTAAGCAGACAACCACTAACTCCCATCAACCCAGAAGCTAAAAATGCCATTAGAGAGCACCTGAGAGGACATTTTCCTTCTTTACCCGGACACCTGATGTCTCCATTAATGTATTTCTTTGTTCTGTGACTATAAAAACTTCACAGAACCATTTCTACATTGGAACATATTATTCGGGGCAAACTAAATCTATGTTCCTGGGCCATGGTCACTTATTTTTTTTGGCTGAAAAAAAAATCACCTTTTTTTTTTTCTCCCTTTAGGGGAAGTTGTGTTATGATGGACGGCTTATCCTCCCTCCCTCTGAGGTGAAAGCTCAGATGTGTTTTGATTGACAGGTCTTCTCATTTGCTCAGGAGGGCCATGAGAAGGCTTGTCTCTGGATGATCTTTCCAAAGCTCTGGCAGTCACTCACACACACTCCGAGAACATCAGTCAAACCGTTGTGGGGAGGCCTTACTGCACACCCAGTGTGCTCGTATTTGGAGAAAGTTAGTTCCCCACCGGTTGGCTTGAATTGGCATTTCTGTGTACCTCCCACCCTGACTCCCCCGGTGGCTGGGAAATCCACCCTTTATTAAAGACAAGGACAGTTGACCAAAAGCATCCAGTGTACCAGATGTTCGCATCTGCACCTGGGAGGGATTGATGGCTCTGGGTTAAATAGCAAAACAGACGCCAGGAGCTTTGCAATTACAAAACTTCGGCATTTTCGTAAAAATATCTTAATGGATGGTTGTTTAGACTCTGGTGTCGTAATTAATGTCAGTCAACTTGGTGTTAACACACATCAAAGCATGCCTGTAATTGCTCATGTCAGATGTATAAAACCTGTGTCCTTTGCAGAACTGGTTGTAAGAATTCATTGCTTTCTGCCTTATTTTGTGGCTGCTGGCTCCATTTAAATATAGATAAGTCAGGAAGGGGAAGGCTGTGCTGTGAGTGAGTGTGTGTGTGTGTGTGTGTGTGTGTGTGTGTGTGTGTGTGTGTGTGTGTACACGCATGCACAGAAGCCCTCTTCTCTCTAATTTCCTTTTTCCACTCCTGCAGTTAACTATACATCCAGGGATGTATTTCTAGGTTCCTTGGCTGAATCTTCTTGGGTACACCTTGCCTGCATGTGAGTGATTATTCTTTCTCCTTCTGACTCAGAACTGGGGCAGTGACTTTCTGTGCACAGAGCAGAATCCTTCTGGCAGTGTGCCCAACTCAGGTAAGTGAAATCATCACACCCCCTTTCACAAAATACCACATTGGGTGAGAGACCTATAGTAGGTGCCCCCTGGAGCCAAGTTGAGCAGACCTTGCTGGTTCCGTGCCAAGGCAGATCTAGATGCTCAGACACCCCGCACCCCCCGCCCCCAAGAAGCTGGTCTACAGTTATTGCTGGGCTCCAATGTGGAAGGACTCAGGCCTCTCCCCCGAGTAATACTTTCGTCTCTTTGAAGTTTCAACACCGCTCCTCAGGCCTCCCCAATTGGTGAGACAGGTGCAGCCAGGGATGTGGCCCTAGCTGCCTATTCCATGTGAACCACACCGGAATTCCGCTGGACCACCCATGGCGTGCCAGATGGTAGCCATCTAGCCCACGCTCTTCAGAGCCTTAGCAATGAACTGAAGAGGCAGTACCAATAAACCTTTAGGCTACAAACAGCATAGGGAGCCGTGGGCTAGCGCAGACCCCCTGGCCTTGCTGAACGCACCCTGTAAAAGGCCAACACCCCATCCACTCCACGTTTGCCTCTTTCCCCTAGTCCACGTGCTCCGGCCAGCAGACATCAAGGTGGTGGCAGCCATGGGCGACTCTCTGACTGTGAGTACCGCGCCGTGGGCCAGGGTGGGCCCCACAGGGTTTTGCCTGGCTTGGCAGAGTCAGCTCTTCCTCTGCATTCAGCAGGGAGTCCGCTTCCAGGCAGGAAGCATGCATCCCAGCCCCCCACTCCCCCCATCTTCCTTAGCCCTACTTAAACTTCACCCCGCGCACAAGGTCTCCCTGCACCCCACCCTGCTCCCTCACATCAGTATGGTGCACGTGTCCAAAGTTGCCTGAACTCAACTCCATCGACACAGTCCTAAAAAGTGATAGGTCTTAGTGACACATTGCCTCACCCCCCTTACGGCGTGTTCCGTAAGGACGGGGGGGGGGGGGGGGACCCAGTTCGGTCCTGGCTCAGTTGCATTAGTCAACCGTTTAGCTACTGCTCTGTGCACCGTGCTCTCTCAGCAGTTCTGAAAGGAAGAATGACATTATAGCCCTCAGGCTAAGACAGCCGGAAACTTACCGGGGAGGAAATCGTGAGCCAATGGGTGACATCTGGGACTTTCAAAATGCATGTCCGTTCCTGTGGAAGCCAAACCGCCCCACATGGACGTGAAGGTGTTTTAATTGTGGTGTAGACATGGAAAAAGTAGTGAAGGGTGTACACCAGTGCCCAACAACCCTGACTTCACCCCGGTGGGGCCATACATACAGGGGCACGGGGAGGAAGTGATGTATAGTAGATGCAGTAGACTGGCAGGGCCATGATTCTTTCAGTTTTTGTTTTGTGTGTTGGGAATCTCAATAAATAGCCCCGACTGACTCCAACTTGCACTGCAGCCCAGGCTAGCCTCAAACTCCCAGCAAGCCTTAGCTTTTCAACGGCTGGTATTACCGGCATGAGCTACCAGGCCCTGAGGAGGCAATAATGATTTTTTTTTTTTTAATTTGAGAGAAGATCTCAAGTAGCCCTGCCTAGCCTCACACTTCCTGAGGATGACCTTAACGCCTATTCCTCTTGGCCTCCACCGCCGCTGGAGTGCTGGGATTATGGGTGTACGGAACTGATCCCAGTTTATTCGGTACTGAGAACTGAACCCAGGTCTTCAAGTATGCCAGGCAAGCACCCTACAGGATGAGTTGCACCCCTTAGTCTTGGGGCAAGATTCCTGTGGTGAGATTAAGCTGGTTGTTTGTTTTTAAGTCTTTAATTCATCAATTATGGCAAACGTGCTACTTTGGCAATTCCAAAGAGAGATTGCTTTTTTTTGTTTGTTTGTTTGTTTTTATTAAGAAAAAAAAAAAATAAAGGATGGCCGCTTCAGAAATGTTCATAGAAAAGAAAGTAGAAAAAAGGAAGCGACGAGGGGGGAATGGACCGCAGGTGATGATGTCCCCACGGGATAGGGGTTTGACTTTTACCCTGCCTTGGCGGGGATAGCAGGGAGGGATATGACCAGAGATGGGAGAGAAGGAACTAGGGGTTTGTGGGCCTGGGGAGGAAGAGGCTCAGCAGTCCAGGGAGGGGAAGGGAGGGGAGGGCAAGGACAGAGCAGAGCAGCTCAAGGCCTCCAGCCTTTGGCGGTAGTGCCAGGTCAGCATGCGTCCATCGGAGGCGTGGCCTGGTCAGAAATGCAGGAAGCGCACCCTGGGGTCAGAACGTGGATGCTGGATGATGGTGCCCAACACCAGGGACCGGTGTTTTTGCTGTACACCCCGAAGGCAGGATAGGCACGTGGAAGTGTCAGAGGCGGAGGCAAATGGCAGAAAGATACGTAGAGCATCTTGGCAGGATGGGAACATGGTGGCCCCTGTGAGGTCAGATGGGATACCAGTGTTGTCCGCAGCGGACTTGTGAGCGCCTCCAAGAACACGAACAGCGTAAAAGAAAGGACCTTTACTGCGGAAAGGGGAGGGGGCCGGAAAGAGGCAGCAGGACCAAGTGAAGGTCTGGGAGGAGAACTCAGACCTTAGACGTGTAGAAACAGAAGAATGGGCCTTGCCTAGAAAAGGCCGAGCTGAGTACTGGCCGCTACGCCAGAGCCAGAGGGCCTGCCCGGAGGTCCTCTAACTCATCGCCATGGGACAGACAGCCTTTTGAAAGTTTCCCTTTGCTCTTCACAGACAGCCTTCGGAGCTCGACCGAGCGAGTCCAGCAATCTAACCACCCCCTGGAGGGGGCTGTCCTGGAGGTAAGAGTGCTCCCAGCTCACTCTCTATAGATAACATCCCCCTAAAGAGGTATAAGAAACGGGTTCCCCACCCATCACCTGCTTCGGGGTAGGCGTAGGTCCCCAGGCCCAGCTCTGATATCCCAGGAGACTCTGTGATGCTGGGTTAGCCCCGAGGGTGGTAGGAGCAGTGCCCCAAGGGTAGAATCTCTCCAGGCCCGACTCCTACCTGTGACAACCCTCCCTCCCCCGGCAGCAGGTCAGTGTGACCTTGCCAAAGTGACTTTCTCTTCCCCAGCATTGGAGGAGATGGCACGTTGGAGACTCATACCACACTGCCCAGTAAGTAACCCACGCCAAGAGGTCCTGCTTCCACGACCATCATGGCCCTCACCCAGGCCAGGGCCTTTTGCCTAGAGTTGGAGAAACGGGAAGTGATCTGCAGGGAAGGGAGTCAGCGAGACCCCCCCCCCCCCCCGTCACACACCTGTGACCCCAAACTAGAGGCCCACCTCAGCTCCCGTCCCCTGTGTCCTCTGCCTCACCCCTCTTTAAAGACATACTGAAGAAGTTCAACCCTTCCATCCTGGGATTCTCTACCGGTACCTTGGAGGAGACGGCGGGATTCAATGTGGCCGAAGAAGGGGCCAGAGCTCAGTGAGTTGACGTGGGGACCAGCAAAGAGACCGAGGTGGGGATCGGGGATCAGGGTAAAAGCTGAAAGGTCAGAGAGACAAAGGAGAACAAGTCACTAGAGAAACTTCTCATCACTACTGAGTCCTCGGGCCAAATGAAAGGCGAAATCCTGTCTCCACGAATCCTCAGACTGGAAAGCCTCTGAGTCCTCAGGCAAAAAGGAATCTAGTTCTTATCTTCTCACGCCTTATATGCCTTTCGCCGTCCAGCCATATCACTTCCTGTCTCGGCCTCCCTAGTGCCGGGATTCAAAGCAAGGAGCACAGTGTCTAGGACCCAGTTGGGTCATAGTCTCAGTACCCAGCACTCCTTGAATGCTGGGCCTGCATCAGATCTTCCATGTGGATTATCTCCTGTAATCCTTCCTCACACCCCTGGACACGGGTACTGTGCTGTGGACCTTGTGGCTAGAGAGTTTCTTAAGTAACAGAGATCACCCCGCAAGTTATCAGGGAGGCCCTAGATCAGGACCATTCCTGCATGTAGCGCTGACCACTGCACTAAGAAACTGAAGGAGCCCGTCCACTTCCACACGAGCAGATCTGTCCCTGCTGACTCCAGTCCCACCTCTTGTCTATCAGGGCCGTGAGTCACCTGTGCAGAGGCTCTCGGCATCAGGAGCCACTCGGTTCTCTTCCTCTGCTTGTCTCTGTCCTGCCTCATATCCTTGGATCTCAAAGAAAAAAGAAAAGCCGTGTTTTGACAGCAGCGAGTCAGATGTCAGGGCCCCTCACATAGCAGGGTAGCGGTTTGTTTTCACTGGGCTCTCTGTTGTTGACGGCATCCCAGGTAATTAAAGCTGAAACGCCTGACCGGGTTCATTGATTTCCTGCATGGAGCAGAGCAGAGCGTGCTGGGTATTTGCTCTGCAGAGGGATGCTGCGTCCTTGTCACCAGGGAGACGGCCCAGGCTTGACTCACACACTGCTTACAGAGAACATTCCTTTTGGAAGCCTAACGGAGGCCCCGGGGCTCCGCTTGAATCTTGGTGCCACAGAAGTGTTGATTCTTTCTCAGGGTCACAAGAAGGGACCTATTTGTCTACAAAACACTGTGGGCCATTATTCCAGCACCTAGTTACTGTTAGGATTACTGGAGCCCAGGCTTTGTTCACGGGAGGCTGACTCCCCAGTCTCTTCCTCGCCCACCCCCTCATGGGGGAGTTGGGGGTGGTATGGACATGGGTGTGAGTGTGTGCATTCAGGTGCATGTGCACACACATGCTCCTACAAGGAGAGGCCAGAGGATGATGTCACACTTTCCTCAGTAACTCACCACCTTAAATTTATTTTTTTAAAAATTTACCTTGTGTATGTGCATGTGCATGCATGCATGCATGCGCCCGTGCCCACAGAGGCCAGATGACAGGATTGGAATCCCTGGAGCTGGAGATAGAGGTGGTTGTGAGTTGCCTGGCATAGGAACTGGATGCTTGTCCTGTGCAAGCAAGCATTTGTAACTCTTGAGGCATCTTTCCCGTCCTGTAATTTTATTTAGTGTGTGTGAGAGAGAGAGAGGGAGAGAGGGAGGGAGGGAGAGAGAGAGAGAGAGAGGGAGAGAGAGAGAGAGAGAGAAAGAGAGGGGGGTGGTACACCCAGGAAGAGCATGTGTAGAGGTCAGAAGCCATCTTTGAGAAGTAGGTTCTCTCCTTCCACCATGGCTTCCAAGGACTCGGACTCAGGGTGTCCGGCTCGTGTGTAGCACGCGCTTTTCCCCACTGAGCCAACTCACTGCCTTTCCACCCTGTATTTTGAGGCATGGTCTCTCTCTGGACCTGGAGCTCACCGATGGGGCTAGGTTAGCTGGCCAGAACCCCAGGGGTACATGGCCTACACCTCAGCACTGAGGTACTTGGATTTACATGGACACCGGGGATTCAAACTCGGGTCCTCATGCTTGGATAGCCAGCACGCTACCCACTGGGCCATCTCCCCCATCTCCCACCTTTCCCTTTTCTTACTGCCTTATTTAGCATCCCTGCCTTCGCTCAGGCAGGGATAGGAGATGTAGCTGATACCTGCAGGCATCACCCAGGTCTAGTGTGTGTGGGGGGGGAGCCATTGGCTGCAGGAAGGGTTGAGAATTGTTCTCTCTCTTTATTTCTACCCTGTCATTTATCAGTGTGGAGAAGTGTGAGTTCATCTGAAAGAGAAAGATAACACGTGAGGGACCCGAGTTTGAATCCCCAGTACCCATGTAATTACCAGGTCCACAGAGATCAGATCTTCTGTGTTCGAGTCTCCACTCAGAAACTTGCTGGCTGTGTGACCTTGCGCAAGTGGCTTAGCATCTCTGAATCTTAGTTTGCTCCTCTCTAGTGAGGTTAATCATAGTACCTGTCCTCTCGGGGCTGTCATGGGATTGAAGGGGATATAAATAAGCCTTGGAAAGATTGCGTATGGCATATAGTCCACGTGCATACAAAAGTTTGCCATTGTTGGGATATTCAGTTTCAGGGTTTTAGTCAACAGCTGATCTCCCTCCCCTTAATCATCAAGCAAAAATGCGTTCAGTAATTCACTGCATTCCTGAGTGATACCATCGAGTCAAAAAGTGCAGTCCTTGCTCTGAAAGAATGAGTCCCGCCAAGGAACTTTCCGCTTTTGGGGAAAGGGGGTGTTGTGTACAGCGACGGTGCAGACTGGAACCTTCTGATTCTCACTTAGAAAGGCAGGGTGATGTCGGGACATGCTGTTTCAGGCCTGGGACCTGTGCTAACTCACAGAGCTGTGACAACAGCTGCAAGGAGAGACCCTGGGCCCTAGAGGGAAGGGGGGCGCCTGTCGCTACAATCCCGGGTGCATACATTGTCCATGAGAAGGGCAGGGATGGCACCCTGAGTGCTGGCCGGTGTCCGTCCCCTGTATCTGCCCACTGTGTCCACACACAGCCTGTCACCATCTTGTGTTGGCTCTTTAGGTCGGCTGTGTGTCCTTTGCTCACATAACTTCTCCCATCAATTTTGTTGTTTTGTGACAGGGTCTCGGGTAGCCCAGGCTGACCTCTCTCTCATTCACCATGTAGCCAAGGCTGGCCTTCAACTCCTCCCCATTCTCCTGCCTCTACATCCCAAGTGTTGGGATGGCAGGTGTGCTCTACCACACCCGCCTCAATACATGCGTCTTTTTAAGGAAACTGCTTCATTGAGGTATATTGACCCACAATAAACCACACATATTCAAGGGTATGCAGTTTGGTAAGTCTTGACCCTTGTGTACCTGTGAGACAATCACTGCTTTCGTGTCATGAACACATCTCATGCAGTGAACATATCTGTCACTCACACAGTTATCTCAGGTCCATCCAGGCTGCCGAGTACAGCAAGGTGCCATTCCCTTTTCACGGCTGCATACTATTCCACTGCCGTACATGACTGAGTGTCTAGAACAGTGTACCTTTTTGTATACCAAACAGTGGGGAGACAAAAAGGAGTCCCATCCTGCCCGTATTGTCTCTCCTATCCTGTCTTGTTGGAATCGGGGAGGAGAATGACAGTGTCAAAATCCAGGTAACAGTGGAGGAGACTAAAGGGACCAAGGCTTGCCCACTGGGGCTCAGACGTAGCAGCGGAAGGAGCCGTCATGCCTGGGAGGAAGAAATCTGGAGAATGATTTAGGAACGTGACTTTTTCAAAAATTAAAAAAAAAAAAAAAGATTATTTTTAAAACATGCACCCGAGTAAGAACCAAACAGGCTCAGTTTGTAGTGAAAAGACTCGATAAAAAGAGGGGGCAGCGATCTCTGAGAATGGCGTCCAAATCCTAGATAAGAGGCCAGCGAGGCCCTGTTCCTGTCCCAACCAGGGGCAGCAAGATCTGGAGCAGTGCTCGCCCCCAGGTCCCTGGTGAGAACCAGCCTGCAGCTTCTGCGGAACAGAAACTCAAAGGCTGACCGGGAAGCATGTCTTCCATGGAGTTAGTCTTCCTGGAGTCCGGCTTAAGGCCGCCATCCCGAGCAACTCTGATAGTGACGTCTCGTGTCCCTTCTCCCTAGGGACATGCCGGCCCAGGCCCGGGCTCTGGTGGAGAGAATGAAAAACACACCTGTGAGTACAGACCCCCCACCCCCACCCCGAAAGGTGCTCTTCTCTTTAACCGGGGAGCTGCAGGGCCTGATGAACCCCTGGGCTGTCCCGGCCGGCAGCTTGCCTTCAGCTGGTCTTCCAGGGAGTGCACAGGAGATCTGCCTGGCACCCTGCCCCGGGGCTGGCTGCAGGAGGACGAGGTGGCGCAGGGCGCTGGCCAAGATCACAGGCCTCGGGCTCTTTATCCCAGAGTTGGCTTCCCAGCGCCCTCTTACATAAACACAAAGTGCTAAAAATAGGCTGCCCGTTCCAATCCTTCCCCGTCCCTTCAGAATCTCACTTGCACTTTTTTTTTTTTCTGGTGCTCTGTTCTTGTGGTGTGTGGACTGCGGCTCCTGGAGAGACTCCTTTTATGGTGGAGGCTGAGTAGGGAACCGCAGCTCCTGGGCCTTCCTGGTTTTACCCCACCATACGGACCCTGCTGGGTTCTCCCTCCATGAACTCAGGCCCTAAGAGCCTGATAGAGCTTGACTTCAAAAAGACTTCAGGCTCTATCTTTTGACACAATCTCCTTTGAACACCTCAGATCACATTTGAGGAGCAGGATAATCCAAGAGGTCTTTCAAGAGCTTGGGGAAATGTGAGACATGTCCATTCTGGCATTTTGTTTTTTGTTTTTTTGTTTTTCGAGACAGGGTTTCTCTGTGTAGCTTTGCGCCTTTCCTGGAACTCACTCTGCAGACTGGGCTGGCCTCGAACTCACAGAGATCCGCCTGGCTCTGCCTTCCGAGTGCTGGGATTAAAGGCGTGTGCCACCACTGCCCCGGCTCATTCTGGCATTTTAAGAGGATTTGAGGGGAGAACGTAGCCGGCCTCCTGTGTGTGAGCAGACACACACACACACACACACACACACACACACACACACACACACACACACACACACACACACACTTACGGGGCAGCTCCCATCATCTCAGGGCGTCATAGTAATAGAGGAGTTACCACCTCATACTCTGGGTGATACAAAAAAGGTCTCTGAGCATCAGCTGACCGTATAGCATGGCTCGTCTCACCAGCAATTGTCCCCAAACCTTAACTCAGGATCTGTCCCCTCAGACAATCAACCTGGAGGAAGATTGGAAGCTGGTGACACTCCTCATTGGGGGCAACGACCTGTGTCATTACTGTGAGAACCCGGTAAGCCACTGACTAGCCCCACTGGGGGCATGAGAATGAAATGGCTGACCCCCAGCCTCCTCCTCCTCACCCTGGACTCTGACATACACCCTTCAGTGTGTCAGACTAGCCTGGGCTCCAGGAACTTGATTCTACCCCGGCTGGCAGCCTCTGGTTCACACAGAGTGAGACTTAGCTTTTCCTAAGTGGTTCTCCGCTCAGAAGAAAGGTCTGGAAGGGCCCAGTCTTCACGCACTGTGGGGGTGTGTGTGTGTGGCCCCTTTGGAGCATACAGATGGCACTTTCTGGTAGCCAGGTAGCCAGTGATTCTCTATCTTGTGCCTGTTTGGATTCTGCCCTCTCTTGGAAGGGGAGGCAATACAATCTTTGAAATGGAATTGGAAAAAAAAAAAAAAATAGACGCACACTTGAGAGCGTCCTCGCTGTCCTTCAGGACTGTGATAAGTTAACCAGCCAACCCCAGCCAGCTGGCCTGGGAGCTGACCCCATTCCTGATGTGTTTCTGTGGGGAAACGTGTCCAGACTTACAAGCCTTTGCAAACTGTCCCTTCTAGAATACAGCTTGTTCTAAGCCGGGGACATCCTGTATTTTATTCGGCCAGGAAAAAGTAGCTGCCAGGACTCTGAAGATGTAGAATGTTAGACAGCCACTGTTGGGGGCGGGCGGGCGGCTCTTAGCTCCTGGGGGATCACAGAGAACCTGGTGTGATGATCTTCCCTCACACAGGCTCAGCTCTTCTAGATTCTTCCCTCAGTCCTTTCCCTGACTACCCAGAACTGGGGACCTGGGGTACACAAGAAGGACCTGACCCCCAGAGCTTTATAATCATATTTTTTCATCGGAACAGCCAGCCCACAAATAATAACATGGAGACTTCTAATTAATTATGAAAGCTCGGCCTATAGCTTATGCTCATTCATTACTAGCTCTTATTACTTAAATTAACCCATCTATATTAATCTACATTCTATCACAGGGCGTTGTCTCTCTTCCATCTTGTACCTCCTATTTCTTCTCCATCGGGCTGGTGACTCCATCCTTCTTCCCAGAGTCCTCTCTGTGGCTGGCAACTCTGCCCTTTTTGTCCGAAGACCTCTCTGTCCCCAGAAGTCCCGCCTAACGTCTTCCTACCTATTGGCCATTCAGCTTTCTATTACACCAATCAAAGCAATACATTTCCACACAGTGAACAGATATCCCACCACAGGGCTTTCGATATTGCTGGGTCCCGGACTGTAGGACTCACTGGAAACCAGAGGCTATCCAGAGCTGCCTATGGACCCGTGGTGTGGGGAAATGCCCCTCATGTAGACAATTTCAGCTCTGCTCCTTAGAGCATATGTTTATGAAAAAGGATGTTCTTGGGGCCAGGAGTCACTCAGTTCACTTCTGGTTCTTCCTCCCAGAATAGAAAGCTACAGAGAACCTCCTTTCTCTTTACAGGAGAACCACTCAGCCCATGAGTATGTGAAGCACATCCAGCAGGCCTTGGACATCCTTTATGAGAAGGTAGGAATGGGCTGTGAGCAGTCTGTTCCCTGGTCCCGCAGGCAACCCTGCTTTCCCGCGGCTGCCGTGTGTGGAGCGGCCCTCCTTGGGTGCATCTAGGCAAGTTGTACTCAGTTCTCTGCAGGACAGCTTCTGACTGGCTTGGAAGCTGGATGGTGGCCTAGCACAGAGCTCACACTGGAGCCGGCAGGCCTGGGTTTGAAGGCAGGCCCTGTGGTTTTTCATTAGCGCCGGGATTTCTCCCAGTCTCAGCTTTCCTACCTGATGAAGTGTGGCACTAGAGTCAGTGCGATCACATAGGCCCCTCCCTGGGCGTCCATTTCTTCTCTGGTAATATCAGGGAGGGCAAGGTTAGATTGAAGACCTGTCTGTCCTCCAGGTTTCCAACCCCCCACTCCACCCCCCGCCCCTACCTCAAACTCAGGAAACCCATGCCTCTGCTTCCTGTAGCTTCCCAGGGTTTTCATCAATGTGGTGGAAGTCATGGAGCTGGCTGGCCTGCACCAGGGCCAAGATGGGAAGTGTGCCATGCCGCTGGCCGTTCAGTAAGTGTGCAGGGCATGGTTGCCTGGGGTGGGCAGGGCCGGAAGCCAGGGACCTAGAAAACACTTGGAAGAGCCTGTAGAACCAGATGCATGGGACTCTTAATCCCAGGGTCGTTCCTACTGTATACAGTTTTGTGTTAAGTTAGTACTTTCTTTTTTTTTGTTGTTGTTTTTTGTTTTTTGAGACAGGGTTTCTCTGTGTAGCTTTGCGCCTTTCCTGGGACTCACTTGGTAGCCCAGGCTGGCCTCGAACTCACAGAGATCCGCCTGCCTCTGCCTCCCGAGTGCTGGGATTAAAGGCGTGTGCCACCACCGCCTGGCTTTTTTTTTTTTTTTTAAGTTAGTACTTTCTTATTTAGACAAAAAGGGAGATGTGGTGGGTACCTGTTCCACCTGTGACCTTGAGGCCCCAGCCCCTAGGGCATGGCCTTGGGGCTAGCTTAAGACCTGAGGGGCACGTACGCTCGCCCCTTCTAGCCCTTGTGGGCTTGGATGGTGTGGACTGACTTATGTGGCAGGAGCAACATGGATCAAGACATCAGTCTTCCAGGACTCTGTAATGATCTTGCCCATCCTGTTTAATGAATTGTTCTCCCCAGTTTATAGCATAACAAACTCCCTAAAACCTTAAACGACTCCCTTGGATTTCTCGCTAGAGCAGTGACTACTTCCTTCAAGTAGGCTCCACCTCCTAAAGGGTCTACCACCAACCAATAGTGCCAAAAATTGGGACCAAGCCTTTGTTCGGCACTTGAGATTTCAGGGAATGTTGATGGTCCCAGCCATGGCACACTTTTTTTTTTTTTTTTTTTAACCTCAATCCTGAGTTAGAGCTCTGTGACTTGGCTCCAAGTTTTGTAGGGATACTTGGGTGTCCAGCCCCGCCCCCTTCCTTTCCACATCCATTGAGCAGCACAGGCCGCTCCCTGTGGGCAGAAACTCCTGTCAGCATGGCACAGCTGAGCCACCCCAAGGAGGCTCAATGCACGATTCCTTGTCTCATAGGAACTGCAGTTGCTTTAAACGCGCTCACAACCCCATGGCGATGCAGGAGCTGAAAAAAATGAACTGGAACCTCCAGGTCAGTCTGGGCGCTCTTCCTCCCGTCCAGGATGGGAACCCACGCTGTGCTCTGAGGAGGACTCAGACCTTGTGTGTTCACCAGGGGTTGGCTGAGAGCCAGTGACCCCCTAAAATGTAGATCCTCTCAATATTTATCTGGGCAAATTGGATGCCAAGGTCAGGAAAAGATGGCAGAGAGATCTCAAAGGGACAGCTGGAAGAAACCCTGCCTCCTGGCTCAGGGTCAGCCCTGAGCAAGTGGCAGATTTGCCTTCGGTAGATGTCATACAGCGGGGACCACTTTCCTTACCTATAACCTTTATGGGGGGACTGGTTGGTGTACCTGGCTCCTACTTCCTTCCACTTCCCCCTCCTCAGGAGCAGAAAACTTAGCCTACTGATGCCTACTCCCCTAATACTCCTGCACATCTGTACTACCCTTTGGGGATAAGCCTACCCTAAGCCTTGTTGCAGACTAATCCCTCTTCATGAGGCAAGTAATACCCCTCTTTGAAGTCCCCGTGACTCCCTCTTCACCTCAGCAGCCTCCCCAGCTCGTTAGGTCTGCACCGGAAGGACCTTCGAGTTACCTATGTTTCTCGTGTCTTCCCCTTTGGCCTCCATTTACCAGATGAATCGTGAAGTCTTTATTATATGTGCTTATAATTTAATCCTTTTAATATCCCATGTTTTGATACTTAAGTCCAAAACCCATGGGCTCTCTACCCTGGTCATCCTAAATTCTTAGGCATTTTTGGAGAGCTGATGAGATACCCACCATGCAATGAGGGCAGCCAGACCCGTGGCCAATGCAAAGTCATCAGCGGCTCAGATGTAGCAGCCTCTTGAGAATGAAGCTAATAGAGTCTGTGAATGGAGAACTTCTCTAACCGGGGCCCCTTGACTCTGATCCTGACGGTCAGAACAGGGCCCCAAGGATTCGGGTGTTCATTACAGGCAGGATGAATCCATGTGTGGGCCAGCAGAGTCCCTTTAAGTTCCTTTGGTCTAGGGTGGGTCCACGCCTGTCACAGCCATCCCATGGCAGCTAGCCTTGCCAGTCGGGTTGAGCAGCCCCTTCATCCGCAGAGTGCCATCTCCGAGCTCTCCTACTGGCCCCAGTACATGCAGCGTGAGGACTTTGCAGTCGTCATACAGCCTTTCTTCAGGCAAACCCTCATCCCGCTGACTGAGGTAAGCTGCAGCTGTTTCTAGGAAGCTTTTGAATGCAGCTTCATTTTTATGGTCTTGCTCTAGGAAGACTCCCAAAGGAATTTTTTTTTTCCAACTCTGTGCGCATGTGTGTGATTAGAACTTAGACGCTCTTAGAAACGATAAAATGAATTGTGACCGAGCAGCGCACCCCCACCAAGTTCCCTCCCGCCCCAGAATGAAAAATCTTCCTAAACACATCGTCTCTTCAATTCCAGGACCGGGATGAGCTAGGGAAGCTACAATTCATGCTTGCTAAAAACAAAACCCTAAACCCAGGAGGTTTTCCATCAGCGTCTGAAGCGGGCGGAAGCAGAATTTAAAGGATGGGGAGGGGAAATGCTGTGTCACGCGCCGGGAGGGGAAGCAGGCAACTATGTCCAGACAGTAACCTCCCCTTATCTCTTCCACAGCTAGGGGGCACGAACCTGACCTTCTTCTCTGAAGACTGTTTCCACTTCTCAGAACGTGGGCATGCTGAGATGGCCATTGCCCTCTGGAACAACATGGTAAGTGGCCGAGGGGGCAACCTCAGGCTATTCGCTCATTCCTACAAGAGGACAAACTACGAATATGGTTGGTTTTTCATATGGATTCTGGGAATTTGAATTCAGGTCCTCACGCTTAGCATGGTTTAGCAGCAAGTTCTTGCCCTCAGAGCCATCTGCTCAACCCCCTAATATATTTGAGTGTGGAAATATGTGGACATTAGAGGACAAATCTCTCCTTCCACTGTGGGTTGTAGGCAGAGTTTTTCATCAGGACCGCCAGTCAGCTCTGTCCCACCAGCCCACTCCCAAATAACTGCACAGAGATTTATTATTAATTATAAATGCTCAGCCGATAGCTTAGGCTTTATATGAACTAGCTCTTACAAGTCATTAACCAGTATTTCTTATCTACCCTCTGCCACATGGTGGTACCTTCTTTCAACACTGCATGTTTATCTTGCTTGTCTCCCTGTCTCCACCCTTCTTCTTCCCAGCATCCTCCTAGTCTGGCGCCCCTGCCCAGCTATAGGCCAGTCAGCTCTTTATTAACAATGAGAGCAACCCATCTTCATGGTGTACAAAAGGATTACTCCACAGCAGTGGGTTCCAGAGATCAAGTTCAGCTCATCAGACTTGGATGCCAAGTGCTTCTTTTTAGTTCCTGAGCTATCTCACTGAAAAAGAAAAATGTTTTACTTATTGTGTGTGTGTGCACATACCACAGCATCTATGTGGGGGTCAGAGCAACTTATAGGAGTCAGTTCTCTTCCACCATGTGGTTTCTGGGCCTTGAACTCAGGTCAGAAGGCTTGCCAGTAAGGACCTTTACTTACATATACACACCATGCACACATACCTTTTTAAAGGATGTGTGTGTATGTATTCATAAACACATTTGCACACTTGTGACATTTCCTAGGCATTGCTAAGAGAATAGCTTTGCAGTCAGACTGAGACTGGATGAGAGTACCAGCTGTACATCCTTGAGCAAATGGTCTCTCTGTTCACCTGTATCAACATCTGTAAAATAAATATAGCACAGTCATCAGTTTAGACAAATGTCAGCTCCATTACCCTTCAGTACCTAGTCTTTTTCTAGAGACACCATAAAGGCAACATCCACACAGCCCGCTCTCCCCGGTGGAGACCTAGTCCAGTCCTTTCCACTGGAGAGGGAGAGAACCTTATGAAATGAACACGCAGTCCTGGGCCCCCAGGGACAGGTGTCCTTGTGCCCCACCCATCCCCCCTGATGCCTACATCATCTGACTCAGCAAATGGAGTGCTTTCCCGGCCTTTGATCTTGTTTCCATGGTGACCGAACCCCTCACACCCATGCTCTTTACTGCGGTTTCAAGCCTAGGGTGGCTGTGCCAACCACCGCTGGGCAAATATTCCCACACCTGTCAGCAACTCCACGTTGCCCGGTGCCTTCCTCAGCTGGCTCACAATATTGACTTTCTCCCTAGCTACATCACCTCCTCCTCCTCTCTAGCAACCAAAGTCCCATGTAAGCCTATTTAACTGCAGACTCAGCTTTCCTCCATTCCTGCTGTTTTGGGGTTTTCCTCCCACTGACGTCATCTGTCTGCCCAGTTCCAGAACTTCCCATCAGACTCTTTTCAGCACAAGAGTCCAAATTGCCATCCAAAATCTCTGAGTTTCCCTCCACCTGCTTCCCTCAGTTTCTCTTGATTTTCTTGGTTCTTGTAGCCCAGACTGGCTTGATTCTTGCCTCCCAAATGCCAGAATTATAGCTGTATCTGGCTTTGATGTGGGTGTTTCATTGCTTTCTAACTGGGTACTGAACTGAGGGCATCACGTATCTATAGCTCTCTGCCAATGAGCTATTATTCTCAGGAGTCATCTTTTATTTTAAAAAAGATGTCTCACTAGGTTTGCTGTGCTTGGCCTTGAACTCTCAATGTCTCTGTCTCCGTCTCCCAAGGGCCTGCACTCTCAACCTGGACATTTGCACAAGTTTTTTTTTTTTTTTTTTAAATCAAAGTTTATAGACCATAATTCCTAGCTGTTTCTTTTGGTGACTTTGTTATTGAAGGACAACTGTCCTTCCGTGATGAAGTCCCACGACATTTTTCCTTTGAACATGGAATGGGAATCTGTTTCCTGTCTTATTCCCCCCCCCCAAAGATCTGAGGGGAAAGCCAAGTTCCTGCTCTTCCCTTCCCAGCTTTTCTATCAAGCCACATCTGCTTACAGCTGGGACTCTTCAGGGTCTCCTGAGGTTCAATAGCCAGATGGATGCTCAAGCAGGACCACGTCCATTGGTCTCTGCTGTGAGGATTAACACGCTTTGCACCTTTTCTAGGGGCTTCTGTTCCATGAAGGCAGGAGGAAAGGGATGAAAAACACTGGTAACACAAGACAGCCTCGGTTCCCCCAGCCAGACCCCAAATTAAAAAAAAAAAAAAAAAAAAAAAGGCTAAACTACCCAGTGTCCCTTGTCCTGTATAATTTGGGGGAATAATTACAGAGTCCCATGTTTTCATCCCAAACCGTCTCAGACATACATACGGCTCTAGCAGTCTGCCAACTCTCCAGTCTTCCTGGCACCCCTGGAGTCACAGCAGATAAATGGGCTGTCAGAGCTGGGACAGAGCTGAGGGGCCATCCAGGCGGAACACTCTGTAACTGAGATCTGGAGACATGAGCCGGTTTGCCTAGGCTCACACAGCCAGTTAGGGCCTCAGCCGAAACAAGAGTCCATGTCTTCCTCTGGTGGCCCAGCCATAACGCCAACCTCTCTCCCTCCCACTCCCAGCCTGATAAGCACATAGACAGCCGGTGAATTCATGTCTCATAATTAGTCTTATGACATAGTGTCTGCACTTCGGCTGATGTTCCCAGGGCACCGAATGCACTTTATGTCACGACATCTCTTGCCTCTCCTGGCTTAATAATCCACACTTCCTCCTCCAGAGACCCTATCCCACCACGGCTACACAAGAGACCCGTATCTACGAACCCTATGCCAATTGCAATCCCAGCTCCTCAGCATCCCGGTCTCTAGACTCACAGCCGCTATACAACAGTTCTCAGCCCCTGCTCTATATGACGGTCCTCTGGAGCCATCTCCCAAGACCATCCCCTGGTGACTTTTCAATGTAGTTGAGTGTTTACAGCTACTTCGACAAGCTCTTGTGTATCTACCAATGCTGAGCCTGTGTGTTTCCTGAGACCCAACAATTCTATCCTGGAGAGAAGAGCATACAAGTGTCCACTAAAAAGATACATACTATAGTTTTCACAGCAGCACTACACACATAACCAAGTGTCTATCCTCAAACTATTGTACATCTGTAAGCTAGAGTATTTTCATACACCCAGAGTAAGCAAACTTCAACAGTATACACACACACACACACACACACACACACACCTACCTCAAAGGCAAGCAGCTGACTGTAAGGCGTTAAAAGTCTTTCCTGGTGATCTCTCTTTGAGTGAACAGGATTCGGGGAGGAGCCCTTCTGAGTATTGGTCATGATCTCTTTCCTCAAATGATCACCTTTTTGTTTGCAATGTATTTGTTTCCCTCTTTGTTAGCTTCCAGAAATGAAATAGTACTTTTAAAATATAGCAATGGGGCTGCAGATGTCTTGTCGTATAGCTTAAGAGTGCATACTGCCCTTGCAGAGAACCCAAGTTCAGTTCCCAGCTATGTTGGACAGTGTCAGGGGATGATGTTTTACAGCAGCAATAGAAACCTAAGAGAAACTTGGGGTCTATTTCAGCTTATAGTTCCACAGCACAGCTCAGTCCACCCGTGAAGGAAGCCAGGGCAGGAACTCAAGCAGGAGCCTGGAGGAACACTGCTCACTGGCTTGCTCAGCCTGCTTTCTTCTATCATCCAGGGGCACTGCCCACAACGGGCAAGGTCGTCCCCACATCAATCACTCATTAAGAAAATGTGCCATACATAGGCTTACCTACAATCCAATCTTATGGAGGTATTTTATCAATTACAGTTCCCTCTTCTCAGACTACTGCATATGTCAAGTTGACAAAAACCTACCCAGCACAGGGAGTTTAGAATTGCCTGTAACACCAGGGGATCCGATGCCCTTCTGGTCTTGGAGGGCAACTGTTCTCATATGCACACACAGAGACATCCATCGATAGATAATTGATAATTTGTCTGGAGTAGGTCTCAGACTTGGTGCTCTGTTCTTTCTTCCTTTTGAGACAGGGTCCCACTCCATATCCCTGACTGGCCATATAACCAAGCTGGTCTAGAGCCGACAGATCTGTCTAACTGCTAGGATTAGAGTCATGTGCCACTCTGACAGATGGGAAGGAAGCAGGTTAGGACCCTTTGGCATAGCATTACAAGGCTTTTGGAAACTTGGCCCAATCCCTTTCTCTGGCCACCATGCTAAGGAGTCTAAACACTCAAGGGGAAGCTACCCCAGGGACCTCCCTTTTACCTCCCTGGGCCAGTGGCCGCCAGCTCCACCGCGCCTTGCCAAGCCCTGAGATTGGCTACATCATTGGTACCCCACAGCGCCTGTGCCGGAAAAACAACTCCACTTCCTGGGGCTGCACCAGGCCTTTTTTCCTTCTTAGTATTTCCATTCAAGACCCTTAGACTTCCATTCATCAACCACTATCCGACACTACTACGTGATAGGTACTGTTCCAGGTGCCAAAAACATAACAGAGTAAAGAATATCCCTGCTCTCATGGAGTATGAATCGTGTGGCCAGGAAAAAACAAAAGATAATCAAGTTAGACAGGCCAACACAACGTTCTGTACAACCAACTGCATTGAGCTTTATAAGAAGTAAAGCAGGGAGGTGGGGGTGACACTGATGGCCTGTGACCTGAATGTCATGAGGTTGCCAGGCAGGCAGAGGTCTGGGCCACAGTGTTCCAGGGAGAAGAAATAGGAGCCATGTGGCGTGGAGTCAGGAATGAGCGTGAAGCTTCTGAGGCACATACAGGCCAGTGTGTGATGCTCCAGTGGTCAGGAACCAGGCCCAGAAAGACAGGCCAGGGCCACATCCTCGGCTGTTTTAAACAAGGGGCTGACATGTTCCAGTTTGCCCTCTAGTCACTGTGCAGGCATGGGCTGGGATCAAAGATAGAAGCGGAAAGATAGCATGCGTGCAATGTGGCTGGGTCCAGGGTGTCAGCCATGGAGGAGAGCTGTGATCATCCTGGGGTGTATTTAAAACTGCCTGAGGGAGGTGACTAGGGAGGGCTTTCTGGGTTTGGGGGTCTAAGACATGAAGCAGAATGTCAAATAGCAAAAGAGACATCCATCTACTTGGAAATTGCGTTCCGTTTCGGACATGGGAAGGGGGAGCTGCCTCCTAGGCATTGACACAGAGGTATTGGGGTCTGCCGCATGCAAGAGCTCAAATGGGAAAGTCCAGGTGAGATTTGACAACCACGACAGAAAAGTGACATTAGTACAACCAACGTAAGTATTCAAATCCACAGAATTAACTGAGATGCCCCAAGGGAGGAGTAGGTAGCGGGATCATAGGGCCAACTACCAAGGGGCAGGTTAGGGAGGGACTTTCTGTGAATATAGTATAGCTGACTGCAAAAACAATAGCCTATATAAATAACAATAGCCAGGCAGCAGTGGCATACACCTTTAATCTCAGCACTCAGGAGGCAGAGCCAGGCAGATCTCTGTGAGTTCGAGGCCAGCCTGGTCTACAGAGCGAGATCCAGGACAGGCACCAAAACTACACAGAGAAAACCTATCTCGAAAAAAATCAATCAGTAACAACAATAAAGAACAGCAGCCCAGGTGGTGGAGGCTCAAGGATGGAGTAGATGCACTCTGGTGGGAAGCAACAGGAAAAGGAAATTGATAGAGGCTCACTGAACCCGCAGGGTCACAGGCATCCTCTGTGCCAGGAAGGTCTCAGAGCAGCCCTGGGAGTCAGCCAGCCTGACCTTTACCCTTCCTCCTGTCCCTAGCGCTTCTGTTTGCTAGCGTGCAGTTGTGTTCCCTTGACTCTGGGAAAGTGGAAATAGATCGACATCCATAACCCATCCCAGTCCATGGATGCTTCCACGTCATCACTTCCCTGGAAGCCCTAAAACAAATGTCCTAGACATTCCACCACAGTTGACACCAGCCATCCCTGCTGCCTTGGAGAAGGCAACCGGCTGGCCCTGCATGGTCACCGTCCGCTGAGCCAGGGCTGCGGCCAGGGCTCATGGCTCATCTCTTCCAAGCCTACAGCCATTCCTCTTCCTCGGAATTCCTAAGAAATGGGTGTGGAAGGCATTCAGACAGCAGACAGATCAGGCCCCAGGTCTGTCACCAGCATGGAGAGAGTCTTGACTTCCTGTTTGTCAGGGCTTGGTGGCCAAGAACAGACCTGAAGCAAATCACACCGTAGGTCAAGACCAGACCAGTTCAAAGTGCCTGATCTGCTCCTCCCCTGGGGACACAGGCCCAGGACGGACGACTACCTAAAGTTGCTAGGGTGGGGGGAATGTCATATTCCTGCTAATTCTCCCAGAGCCTGATACGGAAGCGTTTAAAACAGCACCCCACCGCACCACAGCTGCTCCCTGGAATATTTCAAGTCAATGTTTTCATCTGTGTGACAACCCATAAAACGGTTCCAGTAAGATTCCAGTTTAGGGTTGGCAAGCCAAGCGCAGTAAGGGTGTCATGGTAACCAATGTGCTTTCAAAATTCTCCTGAAACTGACTAGCCGCACACACTGGGACAAGTTGGTAAATATGATCACCGTTTGATAAAACTGAAGATACAGTGTCTGCAGTCACTGCCACCCACGAGTGGAGAGGCAGTGGGCATTCTGATCCCAGATCTTTAAGAGATTCACGACGGACGCATCGTTCTTTCCTGGGGCCCCGGGGTCCTTCTGGGTAAGTCTAGAGGCATCAACTCAGGAGTCCTGCCCTATTCAGACAGACTTTTCTCCCTGTGCGTCAAAAGTCGGCTCTGACTAGAGCTGCTGTGCTGTGCAGATCTTAACAAGTTGTGGGTTTGAACCCACCCTTCCAAAAGAATATCCCATGTAAGCCGGATCCCAGCTTTCCACACCGTCAAGGTATCTTTTTTTTCTCTTTTCAGCTGGAACCAGTGGGCCGCAAGACGACCTCCAACAACTTCACATACAGCCGAAGCAAACTCAAGTGTCCTTCGCCTGTGAGTGAGCAATGAGTACCCCACCTGCCCTACGTTGACTGCGTGGGGGGGGCGCGGCGGGACTTAAACATACTGCCACTCACTCACTGGATCACAACTTCCCCTATGGCATGGCAGTCAGAAGGGAAAGCAGGAAGACAACAACGTAGTGGCAGAGAGGAGTCACGCCAGACAGTGCTGGCTAGATGCCCCAACTATTCTACTTCAGAAGGACTTGAGCATCTTGTAGTGCCCAGCCCTACGCTAGGAGCTCAGGAAAGGGAGGGGACCATGAAGACACTGTCTGCTCCCACCTGTCCCTCCAGCTCTCCTCTCCTCCATCATCCTTCACTTGCTTTCTCGAAATGTCCTGGGAAGTAACCCCGGTCTTGTCAAGGATGTTGGAATCCTTATCTGGTCACCGCTGCCCAGAGGGGTCACCTGCCTCCCGCTATTACACACTTCAGACTCTAGGCAAATGGACCCACTTCCCAGAGGCGTCCCAGTAGTGTGCGTGTGTGGTTTACTTCTGTTTGCTGTGGACTTCGCCTGTGCACATGTCCGCCTCCTTCTTACCCCATTGCTCCCTTATCCCCTGGGCTTCTCTCCATCTTCTCTTAGTCTACTGCCCCTGCCTGCAAACATCCCCCTGTGGTGGGCTCCCTCTTCTGTGTGCACCCTCTCCGTTTTAATGTGGTTGCTTCTGCATATCTTCCTGGACAGTGAGAGGTGCTTAACCCAGGCCCCTAGAGCAGTGCTTGAGGTTTGTTTACGAAGAGGGCAGCAGGAGGCAGGCTCAGATCCACTATGAGACCAGGTCTCCTGTTGCCTTGACTTTTCCTGAGCCCTAGGCACTCCTGGGATGGGGAAAGACCCCCGTCAGCCAGCACCCCAAGACTCTTCCAACAGTAGCGAACCAACTCCCCACCTTCCAAACTCACCTTTGAAAGGAAAGGCTGGTGGGAAACCAAAGAGGTCATAGCTGGGTGTTGATCACTTGAGAGACCCATCCTCATAGGGAAGGTTCAGGTACAGCGTGAAGGAGATTTACAGGGACACACAGCAAGGAGGTCGTTGCACTCTTTTAGAGATGGGATTGGGGCAGATGGATGGGTGGATGGAGTCCGTT